TAAAAGATCTTTCAGAGCTGATTTCGCAAGATTGTCGACATGAATATTCCGGAAAATTCCAGAATGGCCTGGGTTCCATCGTGTCTCTACTAACCCGTTCAATCGTAACAGAGTTTTAAATCGATCAACAGTGGCTTGAGACGACTTGCTTCGGCATGTTCAAAGGGAGTGAATAGCGTTAGAGTTATCGAGGAGCATCTTAATGGGAAACTCTCCTGCCAATATCACAGCTACTTCCAAGGTTTTCTGAGTGTTACGGGCTGGGCCCGGCTGGTTATGGCTGGGCTGTTTAAGGCTATAGGGCCCATCCTTATCTTGTAGGGTTTGGTTTGTTCATTAACGTGCAAGGTAAAGTGACTACCGTTGCACTTCTGCTGGAACTTAGGCACGGTTGGTGCCGGGCTGGATCAGGTTTACTACCATTCAGTAAATCTACCTCGTCCCACCTGAATGACCGGACCGCCTCAGACTTCACCTACGTGTTAAATCACACCAAGCCTGACCGTCCAGAAACCCGCTGTATAGACACCTTAGCGCAAATTCCTCCTCAGCCTCAGCCACTTCACGCCCGAGCCCTTGACACCTTCGCGATCTGTAACTTTTCCCTTCCATTCATTCCCAGCTTCAGCTCATCTCAGCATCTCCTCATCTCATCCAGGGGTCGTTTTCTTCATTGGAGGCCTCATCCAGTCGCCCATCAAGGCCTCCTCAGTTTGTATTCCTTTTTGGTTCCTTCATGCGGCATCCCTCTATCCTTCAGCCGATCTCGTCATCCCAGAAACCTTGTAGGATGTCCACCCCTACGGCCTTGCTCCGTCGTTACCGTACCCCTGACCGTGGAGGTCGAAAATGCGAATGAGAGCTCAAGACCGAGGCACCGGTGCCCCAGCCTTTGTCAAACGCTCTGGTTGATGTGCCGGCAAAATGTCGTACGTATGTCGTCGCTGGCGATTCGGCACAGGTCGAGTTGTTGGCGCCCTTGGCCGAGGTGAGGACGCATCTAAGGCCGGTATTTCGACCGTACCTTTACATCGACTGGCGGTTGCAGAGGGTCGGACATCCTCTTGCTTCTTTGATGGCGATTTGGCTTTTGGAGGTATGGGATTTCTTAGGTAGGTGATGAGATGATTGTGGAGAGGGGCGCGAGATGAGTTTGGCTGGGAATGATTTTCCAGAGAAACAGAAAATAAGATCTTGAAGGTGTCGTTTGTTGTAATACGAAGATCAGACAGGTTATAGATTGTCTGAGGTTCGTATCTGGGGTATAGATGATTGATTTCGTTGAGTTGTGCAGTCGTGAAATCTCTGCAAGTCGGATTTGCGACCAAAAATGAGCCAACACCACTCCTCCCGATCGCCAACTCGACGAAAACGCTCAAAATCACCCTTTTTTGTGGCTGATTCTCGGCTCTGGGAGCATATTAGACTCCCAGGTTCGTAGAGGACACCACTGACAGGTGTTCAGCCTTCATCCTCCCTTAACTTGTAGGCGCAAGCGAGTTTGTAAATCTTCTCACTTTACGGGAGTATTACCAGATCACCTATAAAGGGCCAGGGTATCTGGAACAGGCATTAAAGTTATAAAGAGCCGTAGCTTCCCGCTCTTAAATTCCTCATAGAAAATATAAACATTTAAATATGGCATTGCTTTCGTGCATTGGCTGAAAGTCCTAGCCCGTCACACTGAGCGCCTAAAAGTTCTGCGTCGTACACTTCTACTCCCAGAATCATACCAGCATCTCTTCCAATCAGCCTGTTTCTTTTGTATACGACGTATTCCCATGCAGATCTAGCTGGCACGCTTGATGAGCCACCTGAGTAGGCATATATAGTCTCCGGCGAGAGATTTACAATCCATGCCTTTGCATAATTTGACTCATTTTTTCTATCGAGACCTAGCCGAATTGGTTTCTTGGAATGGAAGTTTTCCGGGACCTTCAGCGATTGGTACATTTAGAGTATAGTTCTGGAGTCGTGTCAGATAGCTCTCTGGAGCAGTGATAGTCCGGGCTTTCTGGCTTGCTCGTATTTCGAGGCACCTAATAACATTTTTTAGTGCTTCCCTAGGCCTCAGTGCTAGAGGGTGCCATATATCTAGTCGTTGAATGCGCGTTGCTAACCGAAGTTGTCTCTAGCCCAAAAGAATTACTGCTGGTGGAATGCTTGACTCTCTTCGAAGAGCCAAATTTAGAGTTGTACGCCACGCAGGTAGCGCTGCTCTAACTACCCTTACAATTGTTTTGTCCAGTAGATTAGTATGCCAGCCAACGCCGGTGCTGACTTTTTTGTCTCGCCGAGTGGTAACGCGGGCTAGGCCTGGACACCATGCCTCCGCTCTATACAGTGCCATACTGAGGAGACAGGCGTGGATTGCTTTAATGATCGGTCCCAGTGATACACCGCGCTGAACAGTATTAATCCGACGTATAAGATGTATTACACGATGTGATTTTTCCCATCATTCTTGCACGTGCTGCTTAAATTTCAGCTGAGAATCGAGTTATACTCCAAGCCATCTCACATATGGGTATGGAGAGACATCTAAACCTTTCACCCGAGTTATGAGATCTGAAGTGTCAAATATTTTTATTAGCCTACCACCTATTCTTAAAAGCTCTGATTTGGCTGAGTCAAAGTTAATCTTGTGCTCTTCTGCCAGTTACATATTTCTTTCAACTTCTCCCTGAGCTGATGAGATAGCTTCGGCGGCAGTGCGTCCTATGCCGATGATGACGATATGGTCAGCATATCTGAATCTTTTTCCTTTCCCGTCTTGAAATAAAATGGCAATATATAGGAGAAAAATGTGTGATGAGAGTGGTGAGTCCTGGGGTACAACACACTCGGCAATTTTTTCGCACGTTATTCCATCCTCAAGAAGAACATGAATTCTACGCCGGGTCAGAAACCACTCAACAAATCGGCATAGAATTTTTGGCAACCCCTAGTCCCGCATTCTACGTGGTAGGCGTTTGTGAAATACTACATCAAGGCTCCTTGCACATCCATAATTACCATAGCTGCGAATTTGATGATACTAATTGTTGCTTTGGCGTCGCGAATGACACAGGAAACAAGATCGACAGCTAAACGTCCAGTAAGTGCACCAAAAAGTTGTTGGGGAACTACTTGGTGCTCGATGAATGACCACGCCATTCTTTTGGCTATGATACGTTCTAATCCTTTACCTAGGCAAGAGAGAAGATAGATAGGTTACCATCCTTTAGGAATGGATAGATTTCGTCCTGGCTTTGGAAGCAGGACTGCTCTTGCGGCTTGAAATGCTGTTAAAAAGTGTCCATGATCTAGACATGCTTGAAATATGTTTCTCACATCCATTCTAATTACTGTCCAGCATGCCTTGAGCAACCTCATAGTTAGTTTTACGGTTCCTTGGACCGTTTTTCTGCCGTCAATAGTACATTCTGTAACGTCTAGCAATAATATTGCATTTTACCGGAGGATCGACTCCAGTTGGTCCTGATCTCACGTGGAGAGATCTTGATCTGCGTCAAATCAAGCCATAAAAGTGCCCCGCAAGCTCTCCACCCCCTCGAGTGGAGCGGAGTGCCACTTGTCTTTTGCAACCCTTAGTTAAGAGGACTTTCAACATGACTTAGGCTTGGCCTATTGTATCAGCTTAAATACCTGCACACCTAAGGTGGTATTTTCTAATCTCTTCCTCCTGTGTTCTCTCTTCGTTGAAAGCAAAATTTAGGTAGTATGTGCTATTAATATAGCCGGTATTCTGCTATTGGTTATATTTTTTTATTTTTAAAAATTTAATGTGTATTCAGCTATTAAACTATGACATAGGATCGGTGCTATGTATACATATTGGATTACTCTTTCTTGTGATCTTATCCTGATCTCACCCACGTCCATCCCAAAGGACAGTCTCATAGATTTGTGCGCCACGCTTTTTTTCCTCCATCGGGTGTAAACATCGGCGTGGGCATGTATTTGGTGACCGGCTGAGGCCAGAGAAAGTCGACGAGACGCGTGGTCATTGGAATGAGGATGTACTAGGTCGTACTTGTAAGCTTGATAAGACTTATGTAGGAGTTGGACTCCTTGGGAATAAAAATTTGACGTGGTGGAGCATTTTGAATTATTGCCTCGTGGGTCAGCTTGTTCGGTATTGCGAAATTTGACTGAACTTGGCTCTAGGAGAATATTTCACTCCCAGGTTCGTAGAGGACACCGCGTACAGGTGCTCAGTCTTGCCCTCCATCTCTGAGCGCCGAGCTGCCCCGGCAATGTCTGCGTCGTAGACCTCGGCTTCACGGTGAAGTTTTACACCGCTTACTATGAATTTTCCATCTCTGTATATGGCATAGCCATGGGTCAAGTACGCTGGACCAGTCTATGACCCCTTTGGATAGACATACAGCGTACCTGCAGGAATATTTCTAAGCTAGATCTTGATCTAGTTTGCCTTTTCCTCCTTGTCGCAATTGGCCCTGGTAATCGCCATCTTGATCTTCGGTTGGTATTACTGCCTTGGCCCTTCTGATGCCGGTAGGTTGAGGTTCCCGTTCTAAAGACATGTTAAATTTAGCTCTGGGACCTTGTGCAGATCTACTTAGACAATTATATGATAGAAATTGGTCGGGGGACCAAACTGAATGAGTGATTGTCACAGCATATTTAAAGTAATGTGGTCATGTGATATAGAACTTATTTAATCAGGTGAGGTGACCATAAATTGCTAGCAGTTTTCTGCCGAACCACATACAAGGATGACTTAAGTATCTACATGAATCACACAAAATTGAGAGCAGACCAATGAAAAGTTATCATTCTAACTAGGGTCTTGAAATTAAATAAATAATAATCAATTTCATAGTCCATTTCATAGTCAATTTTGTTAAACCGTGACACTTTTATTCCAACAACACTCGACCGAATTTTAACCCTCATTATTTATAAAAAGATAATTAAGGTATTCAGGTTTGATTATTATTTTATCAGGTAAACGGTACGAGTGGTAGTAAACAATGTCCGCAGAACGACAAGATCATAAGCTTGATCGAAATGTTAATAGCGAGAATGAAAGCGAGTATATCAGAACCTCAGACGTCTCGGAAAAGGGTGTGCATGAAATATTTCGACAGCACTTTAATGCTCGCTTTGAGCCCCTTAAGGTGGAGCCCAGCTCAGTCAACATAGACAAGGCAGCTGTCATAAGCGAATCCGAATCATCGAACGACGAAACGGATTGGGATGGTATCTCTGACGAGGAGACAAACGTACAAGTTGTAGAGTTTTCAGATGAAACTCAGCTTGGGACAACATTTATGTCGAAGACAGAGATAAAGGCTTTTATGGTGGGTAGTAGCTTGTCTACGAAAGAAGTTTGCTGATTGGCTACAAAGAATTCGAAGCCGCCTCTTAATCTGCCATCCACACCACACACTACCAGTGAAGGCACAAACAGGCACGATACGGTGGAGGCTGATCACCTCAAGAATGATCTAGCTCTCCAAAGACTTCTAACTGAGTCCCATCTTCTCGAGTCCTCTCAGGACCTAACGTTAAGTGGGCGCAACCGACATAAAGCCACTGATATGCGCCTTCAGTCTTTAGGATCCAAATTTTCTATATTAAAGCAGGAGAAAATGCCCATGGCGCATCGACGCGGCATCGAGGCAAAGCAGAATGAGAGAGAAGCCAAGCGACGGCGCAATGCCAGAGAAAATGGAATTATCCTCGAGAAAGCTGCAACCGCCAGCAAAAAAGGCCCCGATCTCAAACGTGATCGAGGCATTGGTGCTCCAGGAGTTGGAAGGTTTGCTCGCGGCACTTTAAACTTGAGCCGAAAAGATATTGCCGAAATTCAAGGCCCCCGGCGAGGGCCGATGATGAAAAGGGGTGTTAGTGGAAAAGGGAGAGGCAAAAAAAAGTGATTCCAAAAGAGAACATGGCTTACTATATTCCCTTTGATTAATTGAGGCCTTCATGTACTAGGGCAAATCACATTACGACCAGTATTGGTATGCCTACAATTAAAAGCACTAGGCTCGTTATTTAGCGTCATAAATCTTATTGACAACTTCACAAAGTTGTCAAGCTAGAGAGGTCGAGACAATTCCGACGAAGATAAAGGTTCGAAGTGTGCGACAGTTACGGATTAATAACAAAGAGTAACACAATTATAGTTATCGGAGTTCGGATTATCGAAGAGTACATATTCACATCATAAAACGAAAATTGGTAGAACTAGTGAGTAAATCCAAATATTCCGACCGATAATGTCTACGCTTCATTCCTCTAGCCCTAACAGAATCAGGAGGTGATCTGTGCACTATCAAATTCGGATTATATCCAACGATTCCTTACCATTTGTCTCATTTGCACTACTCAAATCTATGGTAATAAGCACTTATTAGGCAAAGGATCAGCGGAGATCACTTCAGACCGTTCAAGCTCATTTCAATCGCGATGGCCGCCACTAGAGTTGCGGGTATCTAAAATATCAAACAAAAACAAAGCTGAGCCGGAAAACCCGATAATCAACTTTTAGACCATCTATAGCTCTCGGTGGCGCTCGGACAAATTTAACGCCAATAATGACATGGTACAAAGAGAAATGTGACTATAAGCAATGTCCCTCGAACAATGCATTGATTTAAGTCATGCTGTTTGATTGATTTTTAACCTGCTACTGGTTTTTACTAGTTCAGGCTGTGAGACCGAGCTAGGTGTATCGCAATTATTATCTTGACCGTTTACACTAGATCTATACCCATAGTTTACGTGAAGCTCTAGCTTAGGTCCCTAACACTTTAAAAGAAAAGACCAGAAATTAAAAGATTCTTTCACAATAAGTCTTTCTTTAGATTTTATCGTGCATTCATTCTTTCACAATGTCTCTCGTGTTACAGGATTCTCGATTCTCCACTGAGAATAAAGGATTTAATGACAGGTTTCCGCCAAAATGATATGTTTACTCATCAGATTCCGAGGGTTTTAAGCCTATACCAGGGCATTATCACATCTTTGAAGGTATACTTCATAACTCAGTCAGCTTAGCAGAAGCCTTCATTCTTATATTGGACAATCCATTAGTGATCATTCACTCCTGACTCACTTGTAAAGGCTTCGGGCATATATGTTATGGTTGGTTTCGGCCAACCAAGCAACAATCGAGATGAGAGTGTGAAAAACAAACTATTTTACAAATTCAACTTGATCTACCCTACTATAAGAGTTGAGCTCCCAATCTTGTAAAGAATATCCAAAACTATCACGAAGCCTGTCAGTCCCGAGGGACGAAGGCTGAACATCTGTCAGTGGTATCCCTTACGAACGTCCAGCTCTCACTTTAGAGTCTGCAGAGCCGAGATTGAGTAATAAAATCTTCAATTCGATGAGGATTCCTAATCGCTTTCGCGGTCTGTATTATCTTCATCTCTCAGCACAACCCCCTATCACCATTATCATGAAGCTAACTATGATCAGATCAGATGGCAGGGTCGAAGCCCTTCTCATCACCAACACTTGACCATGGAAGAAAAGCCATCACATGAGTACCCGGGGTGCAACCAGCACCCAATACGGCGATGGTGGAACGGATCAAGTTGGCCTCTAATGTTACAAATAAGGGGTATTATTATGGCCCGAATACTCTGGCCTGAGGCAGAATTATCAAACGGCATATCCGGCCAGCCAATATTAACTAACGAGATAAATTACAAGGTCATCTCGAAGACCGGCTTTCGGGGAGGACGAAGGCTGAACACCTGTCAGTGGTGTCCCCTACGAACCTGAGAGTGAAATATCACCCCAGAGTCGAGATTCAGTTACTAAAAAGGGTGAGATGAATTTCATTTGATGGATTTTTGACTTGAAGGAGTTGCACTCGATATTTAGGTCGAAAAATCAGTCGGCAGAGATTTCACAGCCGCAGCAAAGTTGAACAAAAAGTCATCACCACCAACATACGATTCACAAATGGGCCTAGGTCCATCTGGGGGTCGTATTCAAACATTCGATATCTCTCAAACTCCTTTTACATTTGCGACGATCCATTTCTCAGTCGATCCCACACCTACCTACACACGCCCTAATGAGGAAAGTCATGATGAAAACGGAACGTGTACAAAGGAAGAAGAATAGGGAAGATACACCAAGGGGATTACATAAATACCCATTGACGACAACATCCCAACGGTACGATGTGAAGGTGCAAGGCTAGAGCAACGATGAAATCTGGGACTACATTTATATTTCGGAGTCAACGAGGATGTCAAGGGCTCAGGCGCGTTGTGGGCGAGGCTCAGGAGGAATTTGCGCTATGGTTTACACAGTGGGTTCCCGGACGGTTAGGATTGATATGATTCAACACATAGGTGAAGTCTGAAGTGGTCCGGTCTTTTAAATGGGACGAGGTTTATCTGTACTTCACGGTAGTTAATCTGATCCGGTCCGGCCCCACTCGTGCTTAAACTCCAGTAGGAGTGTAACAGTAGTCACTTAACCTAGCACGTTAATGAACAAAAAAAAGACCGGCTTTTGGAAATAGCAATTCTATGCTCATTGAAAGTAATTTTGCATAAATTAGTAATATAGGCTTTCGGGGTTGATTAGAATTTAGGATACAGGAAAAATCCACATGTTTTTTCCCCTATTAAATATCTGAGGAGATAAACAATTCAACTCTGATACCCTCATGCGATGGATGGTTCATGGGCGAGCCGGAGATTTCATGAATGAATCGTTATGATTATACGAAACGGAAGAAATGGCTTACCCAGATCTTCAGCCTCGCAATCTGTATTTTTCTTTTCTTTTGATTATAATCATCTTTGGTATCTTGCTACCACAATTATCTCTTCCTAATCTTTTAATTCTTAATTCTAAACCTCCATTGTGAACCTCGATTATCACCTCAAACACTTCGAAGACAGCAGATACTACCCCTTTTGCATCGCGCCGTAACAGGGATATTGATGAATATGCGCACCTCATGTTATCCAGGTTTCTAGGCACGGCCTGGCTGGGGCTGCAGGATTCTTGAGACTATACCTCGCACGCAGCTTTCATTACTACCTGTAAGAATTCACAGCAAAATTATGCGAAAGTCACGAGATCGTATGTAACTGAGTCAGATCGAGAAGGCAATTATTCATCAAAAGAACTCACTCCTTCAATACTACTACGAGAGTCTGATTTTAATACCCCTCTCTGTGATCCCTAGTCACTCCCAACAAGTACATGAGGCTATTCTAGTATCTTCTTCAATGCCATCATGTGTGCAATTAGTAAGTACCATATCAGTAGCAGAGAGAGAGAATGTGAATATTTCCAAGCAAGACTTGGTGTTGGCAACACAAGAGTCTACCTGCACATGATTGGGAAAGTTCAAGACAATATATGTGACTTTTGTGGGAGAGAAAGGCAAACTGTTCAGCATCTGTTGTTACATTGCCCCAAGTTTACAAAGCAGAGAAATAATTGTTTGAAAGGCATAGAGCCAAGGATACTTCCAATTCTTTTCTGCACTAGAAAAGGAAAAAAGCATTACTCAAACATTTGGATACATCCAAGTGCGTGGCAGCACATAAGGGAAATTAAATTAGGATATCTAAGTGAGAATTTTATGAATTGATTTGTATTCATTGTCCTGATTTGGCGCCGTATGGGCCCATGCAGGTGGCTATAAACCTATCTATATATTTACATAGGAGGAAACCTCTCGGTAAAAACCTCCCCAGCTTTCTGATTTGTATCTTTAAAATTTGCAATTTATCCTTCAGGAAGCACAGTTACACTGTAGTGCCGTCTGTATGTACCAATCACGTCCCCTCTAACGACCCCAACCTTGTGCCAGTCCTGCCTCGTTCCCTAATCAGCATTTCCATTGCATTTGTCATGCGGAATTGATCTATCTAACCATGACTAAGAATCCATTGCGCAATTCTTTTAATATCACCAGGATTGTCTATCATTGCTTCGTAGGACCGGTCTTTGGCTTGTCTCCAGATCTCTCCTCTTCCATTTGACCATCGAGGGTAGGACATGATCGTGTGCTTGGGATTAATTTTATGAATTGGTTATTGAGTTAGTTGAAATGTAGGAGAACTGGGGACTGGAATTGTAGAAAAGATGTGTCATAGCTAGATAGCTGAATACACTATGAATTTATAAAAAAAAAGTACCATATCCCTGTCATTGATCTGCATCTTGCCTATGAACTGTACACCAGCATGATAGACTTACGTCTGCTTACACTACCAATTTATTTTTTTGGGCAGAAGATTCCATTGAAAAGGTGGCTGAAACCAACGGATAAGTACTGAGCTGAATGGCTATTCATCATGGGCAGCATCTCAATGATCTTTCAAGTGATAAAAGAGGATAGGAGCACTGCCCAAGGTGTGGCCTAGGCTAGAGAGGAGCTTAATGTTCTAGATAGTCCAAGACTCAAGTAAAACACAGTATCTTTCTCACCAAATTAGTTTCATCCTTTGTAAATACTGAAGATAGTCACCTGCATGGACCCATAGGGTGCCCGGTTCGGTTAAATGAAAATCAAATCAAAATAAATAAATAATTTTGATTTTGATTTCATTATCCTGATTTGGCGCCCTAAGGGCCCATGCACGTGTCTACAATCTACAATATTTACCCGGGGGAAACCTTTGTGGTGAAAACCTCCCACACTTTTCTAATTGTTGTCTATAGTTCTCACATATTTTCTTCAGGAAGCGCAGTTACACTATAGTGCCCTCCATGTAAGCCAACCAGATCACCTCTAATCGGCCCAAGCATTACTTGACCTGTTCCTTTCCCTCAGCAGTATTTTGACCGCTTTTGTCATCTGGAATTGCTCTGTCCAACCATAGTTTAGGATCCACTGTGTTATCCTTTTTATATCTCTAGGATTGTGTATCATCGCTTCGTAGGATCGATATTTGGCTTGTCTCCAGATCTCAGCTCTACCATTTGACCATTGGGGGCAGGATATAATCATGTGCTTAGGGTACTGTGATTGGTAGCCACATGGACAACCTGGACATAATACTCCGGGTACTTTTCTTCTGTGTAAATACGAGTTAAGTCCCATGTGCTTACTTCGTATTTACATTGCCAAATTGCTTTGAGACCTTGTAAGGTTACTAAATAAATAAATAAATATATATATATATATATATATATATAAGACTCGATAGGAGTCTCTATTCGTCTTTGTAGGGAAACTTAATCACCATGCTAGACCTCGTAAATCTATCGTATGACCTTTCCCCTGAAAACCCCTCGCACTCCGAGTCAGACCTTACTTTTTGATAGGGAACCTTCTCAGCCCGGATTGCTGGATGGATACTCTTAACTTTCTGCAGAAAAAACTGGGCGCGTGACTCTAGTTGAGTTTATGACTGATCCTTAAAGCTAATGGTAACCTCTGATACTCTAGGGAAGCTTAGGTCCTCCGCAAAATAGTATTGATCGTGAAACTATTAGCTCTAGACAACGAATAGAAGTATATTGTTTAATACGTATCTATATGAACTTTATTTTATAATTATTATGAATGTAGCACCTCGTGCACCCGAGTCTATTTATCTGGGAGAATTTTATGGATCACATCGCTCTTTGATATCACCTTCAACCCACTTTCCGCTTTTCCCTCCTTCTTTTTTCACAACTCGTAAACCATCAACACGCATACCTCTATCGACAGATTTACACATGTCATACACTGTAAGAGCTGATAGGCTAGCAGCAGTGAGAGCTTCCATTTCGACGCCCGTTTTACCATCTGACTCGACTGTAACCGAAATTTCTATTCCTCCAAACTTACCAGGCAAGAAGCTTGCGGCCAGGGGACTCTTTTCTCCGATTTCGGGTTTTGATAGCTTTGAGACATAAAAGTGGTCCTGTTTGTGATTATTAATGCCTATGATCTCTAGATCAATCACGACGGACGTGATAGCGATGGGATGACAAAGCGGAATCAAATCGCTTGTTTTCTTAGCTGCAAGTATTCCAGCGATTCTTGCAATAGATATCACATCACCCTTCTTCATCTGATTCGATCGAATTAGGGGGATAGCTGTGTCGTTGGAAAAAAAGAGAGTACAAATTGCTGTGGCTATCCGTCTAGTGACCAACTTTTCAGAAATTGAAACCATTTGCCCAGAGCCGGATGGTGTGACATGTGTTAATTCAATTTGTCTTGATTCTGAGATCGTAGAAAAGAAGAGTTTTTTATTTTGCGATTGGTTGTGAGGTAGGGACTCTTTCATAAGCTTCGGCAATAGTGCTGCTGAAACCTGTATGAGACCTACAGTGCTAGGGGCCTTTCTTCTTTCTAAGTAATAATTATTAAAACATCCTTGTAAATTTGACATAAAAATATCTCAAGAAAGATTATCTAATAATCTGAAGAAATATCAAAAACTTGATCAAAATTACCAACAAAATGATTCTGGAATTGAACTGAGTTTCAAAGTTATTGATAGATTTGAAATACCCATCTCGACTGGAATACTCTTAAGGAAGCTGATTCAAAAAAAAATTTTTGCCTCATCTTTGACAGTATCATTTGCGTCTCAAAGAAGCTACCTGTTTTGAATGATGAGCTAATTTAGAGATTTACCCACCTATAAGTATCATGGGTCGATTTTGCATGCTCTTCAGATTTTTAACCCCAGCGTGTTTCTCTTTCTTGTTGTAGACAGCTACTTTTATTGTCTTCCATAGTTCTTCGGCGTTTGTTTCACCTAGTAGTTGCTTGGATAAGCTTAACCCTCGCGGTTTGTTGACTATTCTTTGCTTCATTACCCCAAGAACAGTCTCATTAATAGGCATGCCGTTATTCGCCCTACGAATAATGTCCCGAAGTGAAACCTCAGTATTTTCAAAGAGGCAAACCTTTAGATTACCATCGCTAGTAATTCGTAATCTATTGCATGTTCCACAAAAATTGTGCGTCATACTAGTGATAAATCCAAATTTTCCAACAAAACCAGAAATTTTATAGGTCTTGCTAGTATCATTATCTTGATCTCGTATCTTCATCATACCTGGATATTTTAGCCGAATCTTCTCTTTCATCTCTGCGTAGCTGAGCATCTTTTCATAATTCCATTTGTTACCATCGAAAGGCATATACTCGATGAACCGAACTTCCAAGTCTTGGTCGCGTGTTAATTCCACAAAGGAAGCAATCTCCATGTCGTTCACGCCGCGCATAACTACACAATTGACCTTGAGCTTAAAGCAAGCGCCGAGCCTATTCATTTCCGTGATCTTTTCTATGCTTTTCAATACGGCCTGGAGGCCTTTTCGCCTTGTTATAATCTGAAATTTCCATGGGTCAAGTGTATCCAAACTAATATTAATCCCAGTTAGACCTGCCAGTTTCATTTCATCTAACTTTCTGTGCAATGATATACCATTTGTGGTGATGCAAAGCTCCTGTAGGCCCTGAGACCTGAGGGTACCGATCTGGTGCATGAGCGGGATTATATCTTTTCGCACAGTCGGCTCTCCGCCAGTTAAACGAAGCTTTCTAATGCCTTGAGAAATAAAAATAGAAGAAAGGATGTATATCTCGGGGGTAGTTAATAGCTTCGAGGGTAAGGATTGAGGCACCCCTTCCTCTGGCATACAGTAAAGACATCGCAAATTGCATTTTTCTGTCAGGGATATTCGAAGATAATCATGACGCCGATGAAAGCTATCCGTTAGAGAGGAGGAAAATTTTGTAGAATTTATACCTCTATATACATCGCTTGGTGTATTGTAAGAACCATGGTTGATATCTTGCAATGCCTTGACACTCGAGTGCCATTTTCTTATGCTTCGAAACGGCTTAAGGTTTCCAGACACCCAAAGCTTCCGACTACCTTGTTTAACACTCATAGTCAAGCTTATTGATATTTTCTATATCCGGGCGACGGGTCTTGTGTACATCAATCCCACCATTCGTTCAACGATAGCTCGCGAGACTAGTGAGAATAAGCCTTAATCAGAAAGCATGACTACTTCTCACGGTTAGATCAACACTACGTCTCCTACGATGCAAAAAGCGGGGACCATCAAACGTAAGTGAGACTAGTTTTTAACTCAAAGGAAGTGGGAGAACTAATCCAGCTGCGATCCAGATTCAAATCAGGCAGTACTTAGTCCTGATGGAAAATTCATAGCAACCATTCAACCATTAAAGCTTAGCTTACGAGAAACATCTACACTAAGAATCAAAATTGTACTACCTTTACCGTCTGATGTGTCAGTTACATGGCTTCGATGGTCGCCGTCATCCACTCGTATCCTCGTGGGATCTTCAGATATACTCTTAATCTTTTCGGTGACTGGTATCGACATCCTTGCCAGTATCAGAAATCCCAATTTCGAAACAACAAAAATCACCTCAGTATTTTTTGGTGCCAACGATGATGAAATACTTTTTGTACACGACTTTGGTGTTAAACTCTCTATCTTTAACCTATCATCGTCAGGGCCTATTGATATACCCAATCTTAAATTATTTAGCCCAGTATCGATACTTCAAGGATGTTGTTTTCGGCCTGGCACTGCCAACTTAACTCTATTGACAAGAACCAACGGAAAAGACATTATCAGTATTCACTCTCGAGGCTCATTGCAAATAGTAAGATCATGGTGGCCAAAGACAATTGATGCCCAGGGCATTAGTTGGAGCGGCGACGGTAGATGGCTAGCAATTTCTGAATCAGCCTGTCAGGATTATAAGATTTTCATCTACACAGCTGATGGACATTTATACAAGACATGGCAAGGGAAAATTGAGGCAAACAGAAGGAACGATTCATCGATTACAGGAATTGGAATAAAACTCTTTGAATGGAGCCCAAATAGCAGTTACATTGCAATAGGAGATTACAGTCAAAAAGTAACCATACTTATCGCACCATCCTTCTCAGAATCTTTTGTTCTATTTCACAGTACTGCCGTGACGCCTACTGAATCTTGCCTTGTAGGTTAATATCATGTAGGTCATAAGAGTGGCTGATTTTTTTTAGATGTGGCTGGAGGTGATAAACTCGGCACAATTTGCATGCAGGCGTGAATTAAAACTAGCAAAGCAAACAGTTCTTCTTCCGTTAACGAATAAAAAAGATGAAACTAAGGCAGGTGCAAATTTCATGAAATTCGATCAGTCAGGTAAATTTTTGGCCACAAAAATAGAAGAAACTCCAACGACTGTGTGGATATGGGATATGGCTGTCCGAACAATTAGAGAAGTGTTTGTCCTGGAATGTCCTATATGTAAAATCTCATGGCATCCTATCATCCATGGGCTCTTAATGTTTCAATGCGAAGGAGACGATGTTAGTAATCTCGTATACTTATGGGAACAGACATGGCCTACACCAAAGTTTTTGGATCTGACGACGCAAATACTTGGGGGCAAGATTTCAGGAAAACCGGGCTTCGTTCAATGGCTTATGGATAACCCTTCTAATCCGTCCATTTGCGTCTCGGAATCCGAGAATATAATTACGATTCCTATCAGCAAAGCACAAGCCTAGTCATATTATCAAGTATTTGTGTCCGACTCATCACATGTTAATCATTCTCAATTACTACAGAAACTCTTTTCGCATACATTTTACACGAAGGTAAAAAATTACACGAGAACAGCGGAAAGTTCTACAGTGCATGCAACATCAGAATGGGGCCGACAACATGACAAATAGCTCATTTTATCGTAGTAAACATTCATTCGTTTTTGCTATGTTTTAACTCAGAAGAGCAGATTTTACTGCTTAGATGCTGGTCAAGGCGTAGAAACTAAAAGGTAAGGATTTGGATTGTAAAATCTTGCAACACAGGCTTAAATTTTTCCACTTCCTGAGGTTATTTCATCTCACAGCCAATCCACATCTCGTCAGTTATAAGTGGGGGCTATTTCAAATTATTTCAACCAGGTGATTGAGCAAGATATATACCTAGCTGCTTTCGCTAGTCTGGCTCACAGATGGTCCCGAGGTCGTTATGCTTCACTGAAAAGAAAAATATACCGTTCCAGATATAAAGTAGCACCCTAAAATTTCAAGAGCAAATTATCCGGATACTCGGTCTATACTTGCTTTATAGTCTCAAGCCAAATCTCAAGACTCGCTTTGGGCACAAGGCTGGTAGATATAACAAGTTTGGTCTTAACCATGATCAACTAGTGGTTCACATTCAATAACGGCTCGAAATTGATAATTAAGCGTCGAGAGATAAACAGGTAACACTTTTGATTAGAACGACCATAGCACACATTACTTCTGGTATGTTTCTATAATAAAGACAAATGCGTAGTAAGCTTTCTCCCTTTATTTCTAGCTTCTAAAAAATCAGAATATTTCATTCTAACAACATTATTTTTAAAATTTAGATTCGAGCCCCTATGTATGTCTCTTTATAGATTTTTACCTTCATCGTTATTGTGGTATCAAAATATAAAAGTAACCTGCTTGATACCTTCAGCCTCAACGCAAAGGTAGATCACTTTACCTGTTATGACCTCTCCTAATAACTGCATCGCAGCATCGAGTTTCAGACTCAAGTGCGTCTCCTAGTATGTTAATCATATATTAATAATGCGGTGGCCCCTTTAAGTCCCATTTAAGTTAGCAGTATGTTGAAATTGTCCCCAACTAATTCTTTCTGGCGGACATATAAGAGAAGCCTCGTTCTTCATTTGCCTTATATCCGAAGAGAACTATATTATTGTAGCCTGCACAAAACTTGTTGTCATGCGCAGGTTCACTGGGCGCAAGATACGAGGCGTAGGAGAGGGCGTGGCGTACGACGTGCTGAGGAAGGATGCCTCGTGGAAACGCGGAGGGCTTTCTAGAGAAGTGGTAAATGGGAAAGCGGGGAGTCGTTCTAGATAGAGAGGCCGGAGATGACGGTAGGTCACTATGATTGGCAGAGGAAGAGAGTGAGATGTGGCTGGAATTATGTAAATATACCTAAAGACAGAAAACAAAGCGTGAAGATCCTAGTAACGGAAATGAATATTACATAACTATCCTCGCTAGAAAATAAGCCTAGTGGTGCTAAACAAGGAACCCATAAATCCTGCCTGAGGCATTTCTCCAGAATCCTTACACTTGTGGATACCTGGATAAAAATTGCCACAAATTAAAAGAAAACTGAGAAATAATAATAGGTTAAAGACTACAAAGATGATAACCATTGACACACTTTCATATCAATTATGAATAAGTATTGAACAGCACAGAGATACTTTGAGAAATGTTTGAAGTAGATTGAATTCTCCGTCCTCCTCAGATCTCTCCCACTAGCTTATATATATTCGAACCATTTATCATCTATCATATCCTGTCTGCTTGGTTTATCAGTCTTAATTGAGTTGAGCTATTAAGTAAGAAACAGTTTCTGATGTCAATCTCGTGAAAATAACAACCTCAAGAATCTCTAGCATGAAGCGCGCGCATAAGTAGAATTGTTAGAGTTAGACTCTATTCCCATGGTGTCTAAACTATGTTTATTAGACTGCAGGTTTCCGCCGCTGATCATACATCTACGGGCAAATTACACTTTAGGATATGTGCACGGAAATGAAGGCCGGAAAACTTAATTCAGAACTGACGGACATAGTAGAACATAGTTTCGGACTTGCCCATAATATTGGAGGCAAGTCACAACTCTGTATCGAACATATATCTCATGGGATATAGGTGCCCTATCTTTGACTTTGGGAATATCTATAAAAGAAGGCATTTACATGTACATATTAGAGTAGACTTCACGGGAGGGTATTTCCATAATAAATATATATAATAAAGATACTTGATAAAGACCTTTACATTATTTACATCCAAATGAAATCGCAGCCACATCATAATCGACAATCAGACCATATTCATTATATGTCTGAATATCTAGATAACAAAAGTCGAATAAAAATGAATGGACGTGATTTAGTAAGGCTACTCAAAGCGCGCGTGTAAAGGAAAAGGGAATGACATATGCTGCAAAATAAACAAAAAACAATATTATTTTGAAAAATGTACCCCCAACCATTTTAATCCCGTAAAGTTGCAGTCATATCCTAACAGTGATGGACAGTAATCCTGTTAAGGATTCTCATAGTGGAAAGTCCCATACGACCACGAACGCTGAGAACGATGCGTCAAAAAGTGCTCAAGATACCGACACAGCCATACAGAGGTTCAAGAGCGCATTTGAAGGAGATGAGCTCTCAACCAGGACATACAAGATTATTAATGAGGTAATACGCGTTATCGAAGGACTTCGCGACGCGACAGCTCAACCAACCCACAAAACTAGTGATGAGAGTCCAACGATAGCTAAGATCCTACAGGAAATCCTGTTGGAAAATATACTCTGTACGATATTATATGGATAAATATGATGAAGTAGAGAAGAATTGATATTTTACAACTGTGTGAACATTGGACTTATATATACATTTTTAGGGAGAAATTCCCACTAGTCTCATGTGCCCGTCAAACCTGATGATGACTAGCCACCTCTCATCTACCATGATGAGCCAAGGTACACTGTAGTACGTAAATATCCAAACGTATAGGCGACAGTAGGCGCGATTAGCGCACTGGGGACATGTGTAGAGAGAGTCGATCTTGTCGGGAACCTGAGACGAAACAGGTAATGGTTGAGTCCTAAATTCGAGAGTCAGAATTTCCAAAAAATCCAAACCATTAAAGCTTCGATTTCACCGACAAAAGCCTCATCTCCTACACAAGGATATTCCTAGGCACAAGTAGCTGGAAAAGTCGAAGTTGCCAGCACCACCATAAGAATTCACGATGAAGAAGAAAAGAAGGCAATTGCTAGACTCTCGAGCGAAGAGCTGGTAAAGAAGATGGGTAGAAATGAAGTTATAGCAGCGAAGCAGATGTTTAATGGACAGTTTAAAGTGTTTTTCACAGGTCAAGAATCGAAGGAGATGATCTAAAAACAGAAGAAGTGGACTAAGGCTTGCAATTATAGCACAGGCAGCAAGTCCGATGCACCAAGTTCTAGTTTATGACATGCCGCTATCATTTGAGGCGGAGAGTTATGATCAAACAAAATTGCTTCAACAAGCAAATGCCTTATACCTACAGGGTATCAGAATGTAGAGGCCACGTGGCTAAACAGATCATCTATCCTGGGAAAATCATCGGGATCATTGATTCTACAGTTCGATGAAGCGGAATCTGCAGATAGAGCGATCACAAAGTATTTGACTTTAGTTATCTAGATATTTAGACATATAATGAATATGGTCTGATTCTCGATTATGATGTGGCTGCGATTTCATTTGGATGTAAATAGTGTAAAGGTCTTTATCAAGTATCTTTATTATATATATTTATTATGGAAATACCCTCCCGTGAAGTCTACTCTAATATGTACATGTAAATGCCTTCTTTTATAGATATTCCCAAAGTCAAAGATAGGGCACCTATATCCCATGAGATATATGTTCGATACAGAGTTGTGACTTGCCTCCAATATTATGGGCAAGTCCGAAACTATGTTCTACTATGTCCGTCAGTTCTGAATTAAGTTTTCCGGCCTTCATTTCCGTGCACATATCCTAAAGTGTAATTTGCCCGTAGATGTATGATCAGCGGCGGAAACCTGCAGTCTAATAAACATAGTTTAGACACCATGAGAGTAGAGTCTAACTCTAACACGAAGGGAGTAATGTGGCGTTACGAAGTCAAACCGGCAGAACTCTTCCGGTCTAGGCTCCGCGTCATGCAATGCTTTAACTGCCAGAAGTACGGACACATAGCCAGTCTGCACTGCAGAAGCTAAGTGCGGCCAGTGTGCAAAATCGTATAGCACGAGAGTGTGTACTAGAAAACAAGAGGCGAGATGCAATAATTGCAGTAGATGTCACGAAGCATGGAATCAAAGCTGTTCAGTTAGGATTGCGGCAAGAGCAAAAGAAATTCAGAATCAGATACAAGATCTGGTAACACATAAACGCTCTGAGGTACCAACAATGGAAGCAGAGGCCGAATGGCAGATCGTTGGATCTAGGAAAAGACTAGCCGGTACCGTAGGTCCTCAGCCCATTGAAGCAGACGGAGAAGTCATCGTCTGCCGAGGCCCTAGAAGACCGCAAAAATCTCCAACTTCTGGCGATTTGCCAGCAACATGGGCTAAGATGCCGACAAAGATGGATCTAATGTTTTCGAATGCTCAAACAAATCCCCGGACTATGACACGGGAGGATCAAGCAGAGGGAAGCGATGTACCGCTGTGAAATATAACACAATGAAAGGCACAAATACGTGAAATATCATACAGTATAATTTCAACAAAAGTAAAAACAAAGTACAGCATCACTTCCTTCAAGAGCTGAACCTCGAGGAACACCATATAGTAGAGGTCCAAGAACTTTGGCGAAACTCGTTGAACAACTTAACCCTCAAGCATCCCGGATACCATTTGGTATCCTTAAACAAAACGAACAGCCGAACTTGCATACATGTCAGCAAGCGACTAGCTATAGATAAATGGAGACTCAAAA